GCCTACAGTGTGTTGTTTGCCTTTAGCTCAAAATAATCTACATACCATAGAGGCACATTTGGGGTGATGTGTTCTGGACCCCTATAGCAGAATGTAAATGTAGAAAATCATGACCATGTACAAACAGAACAAATATTGAGAGCCCTCTCACATAGCTGGGAATATCTCACATCGATCAATAAATCCAGAAATAGAAACTTGGGCTCATTAGTTAAAATTATAAAGAATAATTTAAAATATAATTTTTAGTAAAACTAAAAACACTCTACCCGTGCACAAATTAGGAAATGGAAGGGGAAGGAAATATAAGCAAAGAAATTCTTCCTCTTTCATAGATAGAAGCAGTAAATACTTTCTAAGGCTGATCACTTAAGAAATAGAGCTATAAGCCTATTATTTTAAGTTATAATGATAACTGCTGCACAATCTAACAATAGTAGCTGTTAGCAGAGTGAGTCTGGACTGAAGTGGGGTGCAAAGTATATTCATTTTATACTCTTCTGTACTGATAAAATATATTCATATTATGTATACATAAAACTGCTATAAAATAATAATAAACTACTTCAACAATAATACATTCATTAATATTTTTAAAGAGTGGAAATACTAGTATGCTAATGTGATGATCTTTTGTGCAAACATAACAATCCTATATAATACAAGGCTAATATGCAAATAATGGCCCCCTCCTTTTCCCCCATTGGCCCCCTACACCCTGCTCTCACCACCTCCCAGGCCTTCACTACACTGTTGTCTGTGCCCATAGGTTATGCTCCCCTCCTCCCTTCCCCCTTTCCTCTGAGATTGGCCAATCTGTTCCACCCTGAAGACTTCGTATAATTCCAGAGCTGTGTGGGAGAGAAAGAAACTTTTCTCTAGCCTTCAGGGTTCTTTCTAATGGTCTACATGAGACAGTAACAAAAGAAAATAACCAAATTTAATTACATATTATGTATCGGAACCCCACATACATAAGAGTTTCAGAGACAGAATATATGACATTTTGTGTGTTTTAAAAAAAATTTTTAAATATATTTTTATTGATTTCATATGGGAAGGGGAGGAAGAGAAAGATAGAAACCTCAATGATGAAAGAGAATCATTGATTGGCTGCCTCCTGCATGCCCCCTACTGGGGATGGAGCCCACAACCGGGCATGTGCCCTTGACCTGAATCGAAACTGAGACCCTTCAGTTCGCAGGCCAAAGCTCTATGCACTGAGCCAAACCGACTAGGGCGCGTACATGACATTTTGAACTAAGAATGAGGAAAGGATCCTTGGGCCTTCACAAGGCCATTACAGGACAATAAGAAAGAACAGATGTTAATTAGAAGTTTACCCTGCCCTACAGATAGGTCAAAAAAAAGTTATCTCTGATAATCTCTTATATGGACAAGGCCTCTAATTCAAAATCTTTTAGGTAGCTAAGGGGCAGGGGCAGGGGGAGGAGGGGGATAATTGGCAGTAGTTTCTCTGGAGCCTACAGGGTGTTGGTTGCCTTTAGCTCAAAATAATCTACATACCATAGAGGCACATTTGGGGTGATGTGTTCTGGACCCCTATAGCAGAATGTAAATGTAGAAAATCATGACCATGTACAAACAGAACAAATATTGAGAGCCCTCTCACATAGCTGGGAATCTCACATCTAGATCAATAAATCCAGAAATAGAAACTTGGGCTCATTAGTTAAAATTATAAAGAATAATTTAACATTAACTTTGGAGAAACTAAGATGGCGGCAGAGATAAACACGGGAAATTAATGCCGCTCACAACAATTGATTAATACCTCAGAGAAACATCTTTCATAGATAGAAGCAGTAAAGGAAGCCTGGCTG